GGCATGGCACCGTGTCTCTGTCCTCCCGCAGTCGTGTCCCATCTCTCTGCCACAGCTCTTCCTGCACCCCGGAGAGGCACCTCCACGGGAGCCCCTGTGACCTGAACAGAACTGGCTTGCCTGTCCAGGCTGCGGCCGGCTCCTTCGTCCTCTCCCCCCCCCAGCTGCCTCCTCCTGCCCACTCTTCCACTGCCTGCTGAGGCTGGCATGTGCCCTGGGCGCTCCGTGCTGCTGCAGCCCCTTTCTCCTCCACCCTCCTCATCATCCCCTCATTCTCCTTGTACTGCTGCTGAAGCCGCAAACCAAGCTTGAAAGCCCCAGCCAGGCTGGGGCCTGTTGTGGGACGAAAAATGTTTACTCTCATCTGGGAGTCTGTCTCTGGGAGAGCAGAGGGAGGCTGAGGCACAGAAGGTGCCCAGAACAGAGTGTCTGGAAGAATGAAGGAAACAGAGCATTAAAAGTAGTATTTCCAGGTTGTTTGTATCCGAGGCTGTGTTCTACAGGACCAGGGAAACAGCAGGGAAACAGCACTATAGTTTGACTTCGAGCTAAAAACTGCATTCCCACCCCTGGTTTTTCAGGCTAGCCTGCCTAGATCACTGCCTGAGGCATTAGACGAAATGTTCCACTAACAAGACCAGGAAAAAAGGCTTTCTTGGATCACTAAAAAGTCCTAAAGAGATACCTGCTTTAGTCCATCTCTCCTTGTTTCAGTTTAACCGTTTATAAATCTGTGTCATTTAACTCTATCATTCTCCATAGTGAAATCCAGATACAGACTTCCAACTTCCTATAATTTTACCCTATACCATGTTTTCTCCGTATTTTATAAGTCCCAAAACCAGATCCCATGGTTTTCTTTTTTACTGTGTGAAAAGGCCAGACCACCTGACCCTAACGTACGTCCTGCCCAGCTACCTGCAGAGAAACTCTGAAAGCATTCTACCTTTTCACACTCAACTCCCCAGGCTGTCTTTTTGCTGTTTTTTCAGGGCAGCAATGCCTTGTAACTGCACTTAACCAGCTATTTCTGTTCTGACATTAACGGGGGTCTTTGTATCAAGTGAGCAAAACTGTAGCACTGCAAGAAATACAAATATCAGCGGACTGCAGAATTACTTACTTGGGAAATAAAAATGCAGGAAAAACACGACAGTGGTAATTTGCGTTTGAGCAGCACCAAGCGTGGTTCTTTTCACCTTCATATGAAAGTGGTGACAGTTCATAGGAATCTTTTTTTACAGACCGCTTTGGCAAAGGACCTGAGAATCAGAAAGGACCTTTTTGAAATATGATACTTACCTAGAAGATATAATGGCTGCAAAAAGTAGCTAGGTTCACCAGTTGGCTGTTCACTGTTGTCAACCTCATCCAAACTGATCACTAGTTAACTGTCTTTTCTACATCCATTGGGATGATCAGACAAGAAAACCCCACAAATTATGATTAGAGTTTCCCTCAACTGATAGCATTTCTCCTTCCTCTCACAGAAAATCTCATTGCCTCCCATTTGCACGTTGCCTTGAAGCCAGTTTTTAAACCAGGATAAGGGAATTTTCTTCAATATGTTGTGCAATTTGTCGTAGAGCAGAGAAAGATTCACACCAGTTCTAGAGTTTGTTTCCCTCCTTTACGCTCTTATATCTGTAGCTGAAGTTTTAATCTTTTGCCAGAAGGGCTTACCAGACCAGGTTAAGACTGAGCTTGGGATATCTCTTGGATATATCTGCTTAACGATCTGTTTGTTTCTTTGGTAACCAATCTCCTCCCTCTGGCTTTCACAAACCCTAATATTAGCCCTTGCCCAGCTGGCAAATCCATTCATAAGATGCTTGAATGAGGCGTGCTTGGCTAATTCTATCCAACAGATTAAAATATTCTGTCAGGCCAAGAAGTTGTCATACCTGAAAACATTTCACAATAGAGCACAGGATCAGCAGCATTATTTGTAAAGCCCCAGATAACCTTTCTTTTTTAAATCATTGTGTTAGCAATTTAAATGGACAGGTCTGATGGTTCATTTTGCCTTGTGGGTGCTGTCTGCTGGTATGCAGAGAACACAAAAATTGCTGTGAGAAAATCAACATTTTGGCTCGAATTTAACAAAACATGCAAATTAAAAAGAACAGATACAGAGAAAAAAGGCAAATGGGAGGCTGAGGAAGGACAATGGAAAGATGATTGGGAAGATCAAAACTTTTAGTCTTCCTTTTTTTTTGTCTTAGCTGATTAATCTTTCATATGAGGATCTACTAAGACAGCTCTTAAAGGAAATGAGAAAATTATCAACGTACTATAAATCTTGCTGTTCCATCTCAAAGTTTTCAATTATTATCTTTAAGAAGAAAGGAACTGGAAAGAAATATCCAAGTGATACCTTTTGTGAGCTTGGATCTTACAACATTTTGATTTTAGACATGATTTTTTTACGATTTTACTATCAGGGATTATGGGAACATTAAAGCAGGCTTGCAGCTACGGAACCAATATATTTAGGCAACTTAATTTATTATTGAAGAACCTTCTTTTTAAGGTTGATGCATTTATTCCACAGACAAATATTTTTTAACAAAGAAAATGTTCATCTTTGATTAATTGAATTTGACATGAATTAGTGTCACTATTTGCCAGCAAGGTGCTGATATAACCGTTGATCAATCTAGATCTGGCTGATTGTAATCAATGGAAAAGAGAAAAAAAATTCTGGCTTAAGCTGAGGCATCAGCCTAACATAGGACAAAATGTTTTCTTTGAAACCATTGCCCTCTGGAGGGGGAATGAAAAATCACAGAATAATTAGGTAAAAATTCCCTTTTATGTCACTGTGTAACTGAATTTATGCTTTACAGTCCAGGAGTGGTTCTACAGACTGATGCAAAAAGGAATGCTCTGTCGGAATAGCCACAGTGGCCACAGTGCTTATGTCAGTGAAGGCTGGAGGAGAACTAATCCCCATCTGTCTGCCCCATTACTCTCCTCCCCTTTATCTCTAAACTCTTTATCTCTAAACTCACTGAACATCCATTCTACAACAGATGTACTTTCTCTTCCAACTTCATCTTGGATCCCTTCCAAGTTGGTGTCATCCCTCTTTATTTGCCAAAATATTTTTTTATGCAATCCCTAAAGAATTCTTGCCTGCCTGATGTCAGAGTCTGTATTCCATCCTCTTCCTTGACCTTTCTGCTGGTTTTGGGCTGGTTTGCTTGGGGGTTTTGGGGTTTTTTTTTTGTTTGTGGTTTTTGTTTGTTTTGTTTTTTGTTGGGGCTTTTTATTATCTTGATTACTCTTTCCTTCTTGATCTTTTATTCTTGCAAAGTTTTGAGAAATTGTGTTCTCTTCTTCTTTTTATCTCTCTACTTTCATGTCTGGTATCTATTTAAAGCGACTCTTTTTCTCCTATCTCTGAGAACTTCACAGGGATTTTTCCCTTGGCCTTTAGATATTGATAGCTTATATCTTGGATAATCACATTTAAATGTCATCTTTAACTGAATATGAATAAAAGCGAGCTCCTTCCTGCTCAGACTTTGCCTACATATTCTCCCTGTGTTGCAGGGGAGATGACAATATCTCACAGTGGTCTTTCCAGTTTGATTTATAGCAATCTGATGTCTCCTGACTACAAATCTGGTGATTGTTTTAACCCTAAGTAGGACACATGCACCAGCCATCTGAAAGAATGTAACAGCAGCACTAGTCCACCTGTAGGGCTAGCTGTGTTCAATATCTAGTGTTTCAAAGAAAAGTGCAAAACACGAACGTCCAGAAGCTAAATTGTGCATTAAGAAGGAAAAAAAAAAAAATCTCTTGGCCTCCACAACCCAGCAACAGAAACCCTGAATTTTGCAATTAATACAGCAATCCAATTTAATTTCAGCCTTCCTTGAACTAGGACACCAAATACCAAGGATTCAAATATGGTCATCTCTTTCTCCTTGATAGCATCTAGAACTATTCCTTACTTCCTATCCAATAACTACATTTTGCATTCATGTTCATCTGGGTGGCTGAAACATCTTTCTCTCTGGCTTCTAGTATCCTCTGCCACTCCTTAATCCTTCATATCCGAAATTGCACAGCTCTAAGTAAGGTCACAGTAGTTACAAATAGGGTTGTAAACCCAAGAGAAGTTCAGCTGTAGAAAAAGGTTAAGCTCCAGAAGAGAGGCCTCAAGTCTGGGAGTACTACTTATCTCTCAGTGAGGGGTCTTAAGCCCAGAAATAAGAATCATTCCCAGAAGATGGATGCCCCAAAGTAAAGCTGGAAGTGAGGTTGTTAATGTAACAGTTTGGGGCACTATTTTTAGTCCAGAAAAATAATGGTTAATAAAAATTATCTTTCTTGCCACTGCTTTCCCTTCCCTTATATAGTTATACTCAAATTAGTGATTACCTTATCTGGCTCTTTATATGTTTGCTGCTTCTTGGTCTTCCCTGAGTAATTTCTCCTTATTTTTGTATGTTACTGTCTTTATGATCGTATACCTGTCTGTCTTTTTGATATTGTTTCAGTCATCTGTGTGCCTTCCTCTGTACAACTCTCCATCTTTGGTTTGATCTTGAATAAATCTATACGGACCTAAAGTACATATTTAAGTCTTTCTGGAAAACAAAATCCTGCTTTGCTATTTATAACAATTATTAATTTGTATCAAAATCTATTCTGTTCTTCCCTGACTTGCCATTTACAGGCTGGATGTATCCTAAAGCTGAAAGTCACGATAGAATTTTATTTGGATTTTAGTGCTAACCTGCCTTAGTGTCAACTTGCACATACTTGTTACTGGGTTTTACTTTGTTTTAATTACTTTGTTTTAATCTGTGAATAGAGGGCACTTTTCATTTCTACTCTTTTTACTCTGCGGAGCTTATTTTCTTGTACTCATAGATGTACATAAATGTATTTGTAAAGAAATAAAAACCTATGAGATAACTCACAGATCTATGAGAAAATAGGGGAAGAACCAGCAAAAAGAACCAACATAAGTTTCAACAGTTGATACCACCTAAGGGAAATACTTAGGTAGTAAATGCTAATGAAATAAGACATTTCTGGTTTTTAGATTCTCCCCAGGTATGATCATCTTTCCTGAAAGGCTACTTAGCAGTGGTAATTACGTTAATGATGAGAGCCTCCTATCTGATAATGCTGCAATGTAAAGCTTAAGCTTTATATATTTATCCATCAAAAGTACGACACTACAGTATATCGTTCACATATTCTGTAAACCAGAAATGCAGGTAAATCTTTCTCTTGAAAGCAAACTAGATGTACAGTAAGACAGCTGTAAGATACTGTAAGGCATATATAAACAACATAATTATCCTTCTTGTTCACTTTTTCTAAATCTTCACTGAAATAATCTTGCACACTATGCTTTATTTACCAGTCTTGTTTGGTGTAGGTTTTCAGCTTGTGCATCCCTG